AGCCGATACTGATAAGTGATGCCAAATAGTATTGGTCCAGATACGGTCAACGAGCTTTTGGGACTTGAAATGCACACCGAAATCCGATATTCTACCGACACCTTAAAACTCGCTGCTTGAAATCGTAATGACAGCCGAAGTCTGTAGATATGGAATTGAAGCCGCTAGCTCACAAAGGCTCCCGAACGGTTTTGCAAAAGCTATGGCACCTGCTAAAAGAGCACTAACAGCGTCCGAAATATACTGTAGCCAACTAAAAAAGAGGCACTTAACTCATGCTTACTGTTCATAAGTTGTATAAGGTGCTGAAAGGACTACAATTCATGCTCGTGACAACCACAAAACGCTGCTTGTAAGCTTTGATTCGAACAAGTGTATCCCAGCTTACGAAGCCAGTTGTGTTCAACCATGGGAAAATTTACTCTTGGGATATGAATTGACGTGAAATGTGTCGACTCAACTCTACTGGGCAAATAGGCGCTCACTCCAGGTTGAGCGATACTGCCAAGCGGGAACCAGAGGATGCAGTCATTGCTTCGATGTTTACCTAGCCAAACTTCATTTACCTGTTACAGGATGTCATAGACAACGTGCCCATAAATGCTAACGTCGTTAAGCAGGCGAACAAACGTGATGCCTGGCTACAACCATTTATGGCTTTCGTAAAACGCGTTAGGTCAAACTAAACAAATAAATAAAACGCCCTTATTCTTGCCAAGGCGAGGCACACCTTTACGGACATGAAGATTTTGACATAACAATACATGATCATACATGTGCCAAAATCCAACACGTTTGCCATAACGGCGTATGTTGGCGTATCTAATTGTGTGTATGTAGCTTTGTAGTTTATTCGTGTAATTGTGCTGCTCCATCCTTGACTGTTTGATAGCGTCAGTAATGTGTGAGTAGAACATTTATGTCCGTGGGTTGGAAAGTAATATCCAGATATCCACGGAACAGTGACTTTACTTTGTGGCGAGTCACGACCGCCAACTCACAGTGTTGTTAAGCAGACAGTTGTGGCTTTTATAGAGAGTAGGCTTGACAGGCGAAAACCAACCACTTCCTGGAACACTTCCGACGAACAATTTGCTGGAACAGGTTAAACCCAAACAACCCAGCTGGCACCAAGGGCAGGATGTTCGGCTAGCCAGTTAAATGCACTCAGTATTTTGAGCGGCGCGACTCATTGTCCGACATTGAGTTCCGTCTGTTCTTTGCAAACCACACCTTGCTCCTAGAGGTCCCTTAAGAATGCATCCTAAGCTAACTATCTAGAGATCATCTAGCTATTGCGCGCTTGAAAGCTCACGAGCAAAGCTACACACTTTATCCATGTGTGGACAATCAGCTAAAGAACATTATGCGCAGGTGTACTTCGTGTGCTTTCAGATTGATGTTAAAAACAACCTTGTACACTTAGCCACAACCGGATTCTCCATGGTCGCGTATACACGTAGGTCTTGCCGAACCCGTTGAAGGAGTTTATTTCTGGTTACTCCTTGACGCATATAGCAAGCTGTGCCACATCAGGGTAGTGCAGAACACGCAGACATTAAGTACACTTAATGCCTTGGGGCATAATTTCAGTCAACAAAAACTGCCAGAAACATGTATGCGGGAAACCGTAAAAATGGGTGGGATGACTAGTGATGAGGGAGTCAAACTAACGAAGAAAGAGTGAGTGGTGGAGTTTTCTTACCACCGCAGACACGAAATCCACTTAGGTCGAAGACATCATTTAGCACGCGAGCATCTGACAATCATATAAAATAGTCAAAAAGGAAATTTGCATGAACAAGGATCAAGTGTATATTCAACAAAGATGAGAAAACATATTTGAAGTTAATTTTTGGATGTTTGTGAGTAGCGTAAAGTGTGTAGCAAGTTGAGGTCACGATTAAAATTCACGCACAATAATGTGCCTCGACCGGAAGCCGAACCCCGGTCCACGAATTTCCGGTCCGTTGCTCGACCACTGAGCTACCGAGGGCGGACGATTAGGTGCGTAAATTTTAATACATGACTTCTGCTTGGTGCGCGAAGTATTGCCAATGGGCTCACAGTACCTGTCCTGGTGTCGCAGGTGGGCTCACTCACTCGTCACTTCCCAATAGACCGCAGTACCTGTCCTTCAGATGTCCAATGGTCGATGGTAGATTAATTTTTGGATGTATGTGAGTAGTGTAAAGTTTGTAGAAAGTAGAAGTTACGATTAAAATCCACGCACAATAATGTGCTTCGACGGGGAGTCGAACCCCGGCCCACGAATTTCAGGTCCGTTGCTCTACCGGATCGGAAATTCGTGGACCGGGGTTCGACTCCCCGTCCAGGCACATTATTGTGCGTGAATTTTAATCGTGACTTCTAATTTCTACAAATATATGAGGTTCTACCAAATTGGAAGGAGCAGTGGGTCGTATTGGTGGTGCTGTTGGGGTTAATGTAGCTAAGCCTAAACACTGCTGCAAGAATTTCTTTGAGGGTTGTGGATTTCATCTTGCTAAAACTGTCTGTAATCGCTTCGGCGCAGAGTAGAAGGTCTATTAAATCCAGGGCTAGTGTATACGGATATGGCACAATGCGCCAATGAAAACTTGTGGTTTTCTCTTCAAGCAACGCTAATTAGATGATGAACACTGCGCATACTAGCATCCGAATGGAGCCGAGAAATTCGCAGGTGAGTGTTATTCAATTATACACTTCCTACTGACGTGGCGTGCCTTGACCACAAATGCGCTTGCGGACTGTTTTCGAACTTGCTTTTTCCTGGTTCCCGTGCCCCAACTTGCAACAGTTGTGTAGTGAAACCTGCTGACATGACAGTCCCCGACAGTTCGCCCAGCTTACGTTGACAGTCTACTGAGAGTCCGAACTATCTCACAACTAACATGATCAGAAATATCAAAGGTGTATAGAAAGATATTTAATGCGCACTCCCTATGCCACCCTATGTGCCGCTAGAATAATAGGAAGATAGAACAATACGTATTGTGCTATATTTATTGTTGTCCCTGCATCACGTGCTGCCATAGATGCAGCATGTGGATGAAACTAAATCGCACAAGGTAGGCGAAATGCAGAAATGGTTTATTGCTATGAAAAATATAACTTTTTAACCTTGCATAATTTGGCGTGCCTCGAAACATTCGAGAATAAAATTTACTCAGTTATATATTGAATTATTTATTTATTTATACATTCCCCATTCAGAAACAAGCCATATACCAAGAACAAGGTCCACACTGTCACCCGCGGCTTTATGCTGAGTGCAACGTTTGGCGTTGTAATAAACCCGATACCGCTTCCCGAACGTCCGCTGAGTGTTCGCCTCAGGCTGTCAGTGGACTCCTGAATATCCTATAGTGAATTTGTATGGGAGGGATTTCTAGGCATTTAGGGCAAGTTATCGCATTTAGTAAATTATGGTCGGAGTGTATAGACCATGTTCTGAAAGAAAATATAAATACTTCATTAAAACGGTTATAATTCTCTAGGCTACGCTTAGCGTCCGAGGGGCTATCAACGGAATCTTGTTGGGTGGTGGGTGGGCAAGCAGCCAGCAATAATGACACATAGGGGAGGTCTCCACTACGGGACAGTAGAGAAGTTGGAGACAATTGGACCCAGCATGTATAGTAACGCTACAAAAGTAGGAAGCAACTAAACAAACGCAAGGAGCGGTATAACATGAAGCTCACGAAAGCCATTGGTGAAAACGGACGTGCCGTCCGTTAAGCAACTGGACGTTGAGAAGCTTCAAACAACAGTAAAATCCAGTGTTGTAGACTACTGAAAGAGTTCAGTTTAAGGTGCACTACAATCCAGCCGCCTCTGTGCTGGCAGGGATGCTGACGCATCACATCTCTGTGTTGGACGTTCCCGATTCCCATCCTTGTGTCGGATGAACATGTTAATTTGATCCCTATGTCCTCCAACCGGTTCTTCCTCCACGTATTCCCGTTCCACTCCACTGCACCGCAACGCGTTTCAAATGTTGATCAACTGAAGCGCGCGTCTAAAAGTCGGAAGTATACTACTACATGAATGGAGGGTAAATTGATTGTTCCGCAAGTTCAATCAATCAGCATAACTTAGTCCACTCTTAGCTGTTGTGCCAAATAACTCAGCTGTTAGGTAAATTACGACATTTATTTAGCGGAGGCGTATATCAGCCTTATACAGTCCGCTCACTTATCATGGAGTTTCTCGATTTCGCACTCAGTGTTTGAACCAACGATGTTATTAAAAGAGCAGCTTCTACCAATTCAAGTCGAACAAGATTATTTTTCCTATGGAAATTTTAACCATTAGATAAGGACGCGATTAGTAGAGCGAATTCGTTTGTTTTATTTCATAACCATAAAAATTTCACGCATGCTTTTGAAGTTTTTGGCAGTTATCGATGGGAAGGGCTAATTTTTGTCATGGCGGGAAAGGGTTTCGCTACCGTGGTCCTCGGTAATATCAAAGTTTGTTTGAGTGGCTGCAGAGTATATTCTTAATTTTGGTGGTATTAAGGTGCGGGGAAATAGAAAATAATGCAATATGGATTTGCTTTGGGAGAACGGTTATGATAAATTAGAGTGATGACTTCAGACGTAGTTGAAGTTCACGGCATAATGGAAAGCAGGCAAATGCTAAATAAAAGTTTAGTGTAAACGACTGATTTATATAGCAAAGAAGTGTTAATACAATTGTTTTAGGTATGTAAAGGTTATGCTTGTAGTAAGTTACTTACTTGGATAAGGTGTATACATATCTCTTGTCTAATTATTGTATTTTTTATTTTGTAAAATCGCGATGAACGAATGCGAAATTTACAACTAATATATCTTACCAATTACTATTTTTTGCACATACTTAAGCACAAAGCGACCTATACACATCTTTTTCAGATCCAGTTACGAAAGCATCACCATTTAGCCAGGTGTGCCGGAAAACAAAGCCCCTCCAGGTCTATTTTTCATGTCAAAAATTAGCCACTCTCGTTATCGATGAAACCTCGTCTCGCTGAGGAGAAAAGCTTCGCATTACAACTTAAAATTAATGTTCTAGACGGGTCCGCTCATTGCTTTGAGCTTTTAGTAAGTATTTTTATTGGCTTTTGACCATTCCACTAAAAGCAAACAACCAAAGCAATGGATGTCATCGTCAATATTTCGAAGATTTTACGGTTATCCCATATCAAATACTTTGGGATACAGGTGCTTGATAAAGACCAGCAGTTGGTGAGCTTTAGTTTTTTACTAACGCGGTTACCTCAGCTAGCATTGGTTAAAGCCAAAGAAATTCTTATATGCGCAAATGAAACGTCTACGTAAGTCCAGATACCTAACGCCATACATAGTATTCTGTAATTCGACTATTCTTATTAAATCAGCCGATGGTTCTAATGCGTTTAATTTTATATTGAACTGTACAATTGTTTTGTTGGTGTAATGCGTCACTACATTGTGAACTTTGTTGAAGAACCTAATAACGGAAAAACAAAAGATTTGTAGCATGGTTCCTAAGGTAAGTTAATGGGTACCCAAAAAGGCTAAGTCATTTGACACACAATGAGCTCCTATAAGAGCTGTAACTTTTTCATGTCATTACCAAACACAACAGCATTTAAGGAAATACAATGCTGTAAATAGATAAAAGAAACTAAGCTTTTTATGGGTTCATTATGTGTAGATAGCGAGAAAGGAGACCATTGCCAAACGCCGTCGGTTCTGAGTCAGTGCAGGTTTGACGCAACTAGCTACGAAGCGGCATTCATCTGGGAATCGTCGCCGTTACATTTGGAGCAACAGAGCCCTGACGTATTCATCAGAGTGCAGTCAAGTTTCCGTCTGAAACTTTTCGCTGTCAATGCACTATCAGTTTTACCGGCAGGCTTTTCCAATCATTCATTACCCGAATTGATAGCGCCGGCCTCTGGACGGTCATGAAGTATTCGGCTTTTGTACGACTTCCACTTGTGGCTCCTTGTCGAGCTTTCGACTTTGAGCTGAAAGTGTTTTTGTACCTCAGTCCCAAGTTCCTCTTTTAATTCTCGTTTGGTGTAGGTGGGAACCGCACGGCGCCGACGGTAACCTATTGGAAATATATTTAGCTCTCGAAGTCGAAGAGGGAAAGCAAGATCTCGAAGCCCCATGACTGATTTCGAGCAACCTCTCTGAATACTTTCTAGCAAGTCGCACGCGGAGTTTAAGCGAGAATAAATAGCTAACAGCCCATAATCCAATATCGGGCGGCTTAGTTATGTGCAAAGAGTTCTGAAGATCGCCGAAGTAATACGCGCGACCGACTTGCAAAAAGCACAGCAACCAGTTTGCGGCCGTGACTTTTTTCAGGGTGTCTTGGGAAGTTCCAAGATCATGTGACCCGATAACCGTCAGGTTCCACTCTTACATGACCTTCTTGAAAAGATATGCGCCAATGTGGTACACGCCAAATAAATTTGAAGTACTAATCGGAAGAACCGTACATTTGTCATAATTAACTGGTAGTTGTCACTTGACGGACCAATCAGGCAGCTGGTCCAGCTCCGGTTGGATTCTGTCCTCGTCCTCAAGGCTAGCCACATATGACCATGGCTTTTCATTATCAGCACAGACTACACAGTCACCTTAAAGAGTTGCAGGGTGGTCATTATTGTACAGCTTTGAAGGTTGCAGCTTAAGGACAGAGCCTTATGAGATTCCGCTAGACATGGACACAGAGCCAGATAACTTTTGGTTCACCTTCACTTGAAGAGCCTGGTCACTCAAGAAGTCCGCAATTTATGCAAGGACGTTCCCAGTGACGTCAATTCCCTGGAGTTTGCGCAAAGGTCGTTTGTGTGGGCTTCGTCAAAGGCCTTGCTAAAATCAGTGTAAACAACATCCAAGTGTCTCCGGTGTCGTTCTACTGCTTTTTAACCCATGCCTATCTCTGGTAACATAGACAGTTAAGAGATGCAGCTATGACGAGCCCTACGGAATCCTTGCTGAACGTGGGTAGATGGCGCACAGCCTTTCGCAATGGGTGTGGAGGATGCGATTAACTACGTTATAAATCCTGCTCAGATTTGGTGAGCACCCCGTTTAAATTTTAAAATTCTATTATCATCCGGTGTATTTAAAAGGCAAGCAAATGCTAATTCAAAATGAACTAAAACATTAAATTAACTTTCACTTGTTGTTCCTTCCGGCTAGCTTCTTTACTGCGTTAGTTCGTCCGTGATATACTACATTTAGCCAAGTCAATATTAATCACTACACAATATCACTCCATTTATTAAAATTATACCCACCTGATCTGCGCTAGCAGTCTGTTGCAGCACCGGGCACGTGTATAAGAGCAGGTGTAAAAAGTAATAAAAGCAATAGAAGCATGGCGCATTACGATAGAATAAAGCTGATGTAAAGAGAAAAGTTTTATACCTGAGTGCAAATGGCGTCCAGCCAATTTGTTAAACTCATTCACCGTTGGTGACACACCTATGTCTTTATGCAAATAACCCCATGCATCTGCTAATCTGTGGAATAACCCATGCATTCCGTCCCTCCAGATAGGGGCTTGTGTTACTTCATCGAGCAGCAACCAGAGAGATGGAAGCCGAGCTGGATGGAAAAGCCATGGTTAATCAACCTTGATTAATCCGAAAACTATGCATGGCTTAAGTTCAGATCGCCACAGTAGCAACGATGGTGCATTAAAAGCAGTCATCACCTTAAGTAGTTTTTCAGTGCGTACAATTGAACTAGTACCCATGAGCCAGTTTGATTCCAACACTTAACAAGTTTTACTGACTCCTGTCCTGCGTAGCAAAATGGGTAGACAGGACTGCAGCATTCAAAGAGTGGCCTAATGTGTGATAAACCAGCCTAAACATGAGATATCTACGGTGATGATTTTGAATGTACTGTGGATTATCCGAAGCATTCCAAAACCTTTGAACATCACTTTCTACCAGTTTTCACTACCCAGTAAGCTTCTGGTAACCTTGCCCTTAGACCTATCAACTGGGGAACAATTTTGCAGTTACTTTCGTGCAAAAACAGATATCATGTGTCTAGAGGTCATTTGTGTCATAAGCGTAAAAGGGAAACACGTAAAAGTAATATTATTAGCATCTCCCACAGAGCAGAGTAGTTTACTAGTTAAGCAAGTGTTTGTTGTCAAGTCTGAGGTTTATGGGAGTCTGACCTAGTGTATTAACACTGCAACTTATATACACACATGAGAGAAGGAACTTCCAGCAATTTAGGTAGCTCCTTTGCTTCAGGAAACACGACCATTGGCTAAGCACCAATGCATGCGGCAAACTACTAAGGACCAGCGACGGAAAAGCAGACTAGACTTAATCCAAAACACAGATCCTTCGTTCAAAGAATGTTGGGGGTTCATCTTAAAGCACGCCCTGATATGCCATTGAACGGTAAGTACAATGAGGGGCGAGCATGTGGCACAGTGTCGTAACAATTTGGAGAAGCTTGGTGCCTTTTTCAAACACGGGGAGGACGATAAGCGTTACTTCCGCATTTTAGGCAAAGGGCAGCTATGAAGCAAATTTGTGCTTGCGTGACAGTTTGTACAGAAAGATGTGCAAATGGTACCATCCCAGCGAACTATAATAGGAGAACCTGTGAATTTAAAACTAGAAACGTCACTTAAACAGGCGTCCATGTGGAACTGTCACCGCCCATGTCATCATGCGGTAACGGATCATTCCAAAACATGGTCCAGCATTACTGCTCATTGCACATACGGGGTTTTTTTCACGAACAGTATGCACAGTTGCTCCATTACTGCCAAATAACACTAGACCAGAGTAATTTCACCTTGTTAGCAGGTCTATTATAACAACAAAGAAAAATATCCTTTGCAATTTATTTACGGCCGTGTTAGTCCAACATCCATCTCTATAGTAAAACTTTAGCTAGCTCCTTAGTCGATGCTAGTTCCAGTCTTCCGTGCTCTTTGGCGCTAACGCAAAATGATACCTTCCGAGGGTTGACTGTACTTATAGATCCACCAACATCCTAACCTGTCTGTTACCCTTTGCGTGTTGTGCCACTGGAGTTCCAACCATAGGGGCTTTAGCATTTGTAAATTGCTTCACACACCAAGAATGGTGATCGCGGAGAAGAACGTAAAGGTATCCTAAGGCCATCTGCGTATCTTCCTTCTTGGGCTGATGTGTAACAGATGCATTGCAGCCTTGGCTCTAAAGGGCTGATAGATAAAGCTGGACTGTGTTTAATAGAGTTCAAAGGCGGCTGTTTTTCTTAAGTTTAAAATGCGATAAAACGGTTGAAAAACAAAAACGCAACAATGTTCACTGGATACTAGGTAGTGCTTACTTACACTTAGGTTTCTCACAAAGTCAAGCTCCTTTGCAAATCCCAGGTAACAAAAAGCAAAGGATGCACCGAACCTCTCCAGAAGCCCGATATGGTCGATCGATATAAACTGTGCTTATGGATACTATTAGCATCAAAGTCTGAACACACTCAACAACCAAAGCCTATTGCCGCTCTCTCCGGTAGTGGGTTGTGTATAACTTACTTCAGCCTAGAGTAAATGGTCCACCGGATCTATCAAGCAATCTGTTCCGCCTGTGTAAACTATTAATATTACGGTTCAGCAACATTATTCACAATCATTGAATTATGCGTTTAATGCAGTATAGACCATAATACTGAAAATGCATCATCATGTATCCCCGGCCCCCCCCCTGCGTGGTCCCCCCCAAACAAGGGGCTTCACCCACCCCCCAGTTGCCTTTAAAACTCCGTTTGTTCATCCTTGGCCTCCCAGAGCTTGGCGGTTTTTTGGTCGCCAAACCGTTTCATCACCATGCGAGGTGGAATCCTTTCAGAGCAGTGAGATCAGCAATCGTGGGCCCCCCAATCTTAGCTCGAATGCAATCCTCCATTCCGTGATCGACCTGCAGGATTAACTTTTTGAAAGTGTACAGATGTTGATTTACGTCCCGTGACCTCTACCCACTTTCCCCAAGGCTAAAGTCCAGCCCTCCCGAGTTGTTCTTTTTTTTTTTTTTTTTTTTTTTTGACTTTAGTTTAACCACGAGAACAAATTGGTCTTTATTTCTTTAGTTCGTAAGTGGATTACGTATATTGAACCGATGTCCACGCCGCATGTTGTTTTATAGTGTTTGTGTGAGAACCAAGCTTCCAGGAATTCTTTCTCGATTTTCTTTGTTTTACACCATGTGCCAGGCAACTTCTGCTTTAGTCTTCCAATCGTACGTTATGTCCGTTCTTTTTCAACTATCATGCAATGAAACCTAGAACAACAATGCATAATGCTTTTATACGTTACTCTA